AATGAGGTTAAGTGTACCCCACGGACGGTCTAAATGCCCCGATGAAATAGAAATTTTGGAAATTACCGGGGATGTGATGCGCCGTAATTTGGTTTCGGAGCAACATTCTGCCTCAGTCTTCAGAGCGAAGAGTAAAGTAAGTAAGAAAGCCGCAAGCAAAGCTCTGAGTATGTCACGTGAGCAACCAGGAAGATTGAGATAATAAATTCATCCGAAACACCGGTAACAATCTACAGGCTACACGGCGTCACATCACAGAAGATATCATTCTTCACAGTCACTGATGTGAGAACCTCAAATCCAACAAAAATACACGTATATTTGCCTCTGGTTGGAATCGAATACAGATCATCCATCCCATACCCAGTCACTACGCCGACTGGACTGTCCCAGCATTGCAAAGCCATATTAAATACTCAACATTTGCTTTCTTCTTCGGAATTTTCTTTTCCTAATTTCTAAAATTTGCCGTACACGATTTGTTTCTTTAGCACGAGTTCATTTTCCCCTTCAAAAACAATATGAATATTACAAATATTGGCATATGATCTTATCACGTTTAGAAATAGGAACGCTAACTCCTACAGCACTGTTATTGTCGGGTACGTCACATGACACACCAGATCACACGGCTTGCGTCCAGGGCACAGGCTCTCGCTAGAAATTTAATGAGAGCCACAACAGATTTCTAGTTCCTTGTATCAGGCCGCAACCTATAACAACTTCATGCAGCTGACCCCTTCTTTAGAAGCCACCAATTGTGCAGTTACTCAGGAATTTCCAAACATTTTATGGAACACATACGTTCATTACCGTGTTACACAAGAGCTCTCCATTGGTCTCTATTCTGAGCCAGATAAATCCAATCAATACCACTCAATCCTATCTCTCTAAGAACCATTTTAACATTGTCCATCCACATACGTCTTGGTCTTTCTAATGATCGCTTTCCTTCTAGCTTTCCCACCCAAATCTTACATTCGTTCCTCTTTCGCTCCCATTCATGCTACATGCTCTGCCCATCTCATCCTCCTTGACCATTCTGATTATACTTGGAGAAGAGTACAAGTTATTAAGCTCCTCATTGTGCAGTTCTCTCCAACATCGTGTCACTTTATTCCTCTTCGGCCCAAACATTCTCCTCAACATCCTGTTCTCAAACACCCTCAGTTTATGTTCCTCCATTAATGTCAGGGACCAAATTTCACACCCCTACAGAACCACAGGCAAAATTATAATTTTGTATATTCTGTTTTTCCTTTTTTAGACAGCAGACAGGAAGACAAAAGCTTCTGAACTGAACGGTAGCAGGCATTACCCGAATTCAGTCTCCTCTTAATTTCCTCTGAATCAGATTTTGATTTGTTACTGTCGTTCACAAAATTCTGAACTGTGCCACATTTGCAAAACATATGTTGGCCAAAATTTATGGGTGTTTAAACTTCAATTTAAGAATTCAACAGCAACTCACGGCAATGACTGTGAGGATATGATGCCGTGTACTCCGGTAAATCATTACAAACATCTCGGATAATACTTCCGGCTCCATTTTAACCTGAAATTGAAGGTAATTGGTACATCCGAAAAATTAATAATAATCTACCAGATTACACGGCGTCACATTACACAAAACATTAATTTCCATAAACGGGATATAGAATTAAAGAATAAAGTAGACTCCGTGCTTCACTCTCATGCCATGATGATATGCGGCGCATGGACGCATGGCTTCACGCATTCCTAAACTCGTC